AGCAGGCAGAAACTAAATGAGGTCAGCTCTCCACAGACAATCTGAACCTCCTCTTTATGGGCATAAATTATGAGCTGTTCACAACCACTCTGGAAATGTTCATCATTTTCTCTGCGGCTGCTTTCTGAGCGGGACGGAAAAAAACAGAAAACTTCACACTGACATCTAAACAGGTCAAATCACTTCAGAAAATTGTTTTGTTTTAATTGGGATCTCCACTGCTTCTCTGCCTTCAAATATCTAACCAGAGAGCAAAACAGTAGCCGTGTTTCCAACCAAATGTATCAAAGATTTTAACCAAATTTAGACCACAGTAATAGCAAAAGAAAATCTGAATGAATGCTTCCATCCACTAACATCCACTACCACGACAATTAGGAGTTGGTTCATAGAGATAAGCAGTAGATGGCACCAATTGTCCAGTCGGAAACCAGAGGGTGGCTCAACAAGATGACGTAAAAGCTCAAATGGTAAAAAACAATGCTGCCAGGACTGCCACAACATCGAAAAATTTGACAAGATTAATTTTCCAAGTGTAATTACGTGTTACAAATTTACTGTCTATAAGAACAACAGACTGTTTCAAGTAGTTTGCCTTGTGATCCAGCCGGGGGCGCTCAACTATCAGATTGACCTATGGCATGCCTTATTGACCTGTCAGTAAACTAAGCTAGTAATGTTATGTTGTTTGCTACAAGACACTAGCGAGCAAAGCATGGAGCAAAGCCATCCTGACCGGAAAATCATGACACCAAAGCATCTGAGAAGCAGCGTGCTTCTGTCGTAACAAAACTGTAGACTTGCTAATGACTGCTACTATTCGGCTCCTTGCCAGAAGCTCGTAAAAATGCAATCAGCGATTAGATAGCAAGGTTTATGTGCATGCATATGCAGACATTGTGTGGCAAGAGCAAATTTCTTATCCTTTTGTAGTCTTTACGTTATGTGTTGAATTTTGCAGTTTCTATCAATCTTCTTTAAGCACGCTGATGTAAACACAGCTATTGTGAAACAGGAGAGCATAACAACTGACAAACAGAGTCATCTGAATGTCATCTTTGAGCAGCCAGTGCTCCCTGAACAAGGTGCATTATGGTTAGACAAAATCAGCCATCATAGGAGGGTTTTTACCCTTCAGATGAAGGTGTAAGATGCATAAAAAGAAAAACCAGGGGCATCAAAAGTTCCTTTGTACGTTATTAGTTTTAAAAGTGTTGTTGCAGAGTCGGCTGCAGTGAAGGCAGGGAAACGCTTGAGCTGCCAGAAAAAAGCCATGTAGTGATAATGTGTAAATTGTGGAAGCCAAATTAATATGTTTCCTTCTGCACAGACCAGCTCAAAAGCAATTTTCATGGTTTCTTGATAGAAGTGCACTCAGACCAAGTTTGAAGTTCAGTTTTACTCTAATGTTCCTGTTCATGCTTTCTGATATCAGCTCCTGCTACTGTATTTTACTGACTTACTTTGGTTGGATGCCAACCAGCACAGCTATCAAGGCAAACAACTTTTGCCAACTGCGTGGTTGGCTCTTCAAGGGGCCACCAGGGGACATCACTTGCTTAAAAGCCTCTTAATGTCTTCTTCTGACTGTGCTAAATGGAAATCCATTGTAATGCTAGAATTATGTTACGTAACATTTTTGTTGAGTGGGAATTCAAGTTCTGAAAACGAAAAATCGGTCATCAGCTGTAGGGTAGTTTAAGTTAGCTAAGGGTTAAGGTTACCCTAGCTAACCCTAACTGAATATTTTCATTCTTCATTCAGCCATGGATTTGAGAAAGTGGTTGAGCAGCTCAACAACGATGAGTTCTTGGCCAAGGGTTGATGATGTCACTTCATTTGAATCGTTGGAGTTCCTGTCAGTGTCGTGGCTACTACTAGCCCTCCTCTTAAGGCTATATCCGGGCTGACAGTGCTGTTGAGTCTGACACCACTGTGGAGGATTTAGGAGAAGATGGGCCTAAAAATGTCAGTCTCAACACCTATCCCATGAGCCTGTTTGGGTGGAAGAAGATATTTTTTCCTGCTGCCTTGCACCAGAGGAGGAACTGGCTGAAGTACTAAGCGCATGTAGCTTTCAGTCATTTGAGATGCTTTTTGTTCAGTGTAAAATGTGTATGTTCTTGCTTTTTTTGTACACCTAAGTAATTCCTCCTTGTGTTTTTGCCCGATTATTAGGACCACAATCCACTATTTTTGTGATTTCCTTCTTAAAATGTTCTCCTAGGGAGCCTACCATGGTTTCACTTTCACTATACAAAACTATGTTGCCACCTGCCAGTAATTTGGTACCCTCTGCTCTGAGCCTCGTGCCCCCCTTGGATATTTGTTCTAGCTCCGAAACTGCCAGGATGTCATGGGGAAAAACGGTTTCTCACAACTCGGGGTGAAAGAGGGCTATAGATGCACACCAAAATATAGATATCTGATTCTTACCAACAGCTGCTTGACGGATGTATACCTGTAACCATCAGCTGCAGGATCACCCCCTACAGGTCTGCAGATGTGATCTGTGTATGGTGCATAATTTTGTGTCTTACCTTCAGAAATTATTTTAATCTTCTGACACCACAGCAGAATCAAACTGTAATTGATTTTCAGTGGGGTTGTACACACTTATGAGCTGTTCCACACAGATTCCAAGTTGAGACAGCGAGATCATTTGAGTACAGCGGCTTGGACTTTTTTTTTACAAATCTCCAAACCTCCATTTCCTCTGGATCATCAAAATAAAATCCGTGGTGTCAGCAGGATTATTACTTGGAGCTCTCAGTTTATGTAAAAGGCCACTTTGCTACTCGCATTGCAGTGCACATGCAAATGTACCCTCATATGACCGGAATGCAGTCAACAGACAACAATGATAGAAACATGTTGAAACCCTGAATGTTATTTAAAATAATACTCTCTGCCATTGAAAGCATATTTTGGGATGCTGTTAATATATTGATATCTGAAGTTCAGTAAATTAACAATTAAATATTTTCCTGTACATTAATCTTTGGGGTAGTGAATATTTGAGCATCCCAGAGAGTAGTCTCCTGCAGCTCAGACTCACCTGCCGGCTCATTAAACTTACTGTCTGCTGCTTTTTAACAGCTAGAGTGAAAAGAGTTGGTGTGATGTGATTTCCTATGAGATTATTGGATGTCATCCCAACTCCACTCTAGGCTAGTTTGCCTAACTGGACAGTGTGTATTTATTTGGCGGTTTGTGTCCATTTATACATACAGTATTTACAGTATGTACTGTATGTCTTTTGTTGTATTTTTAATGGCTGCTGCAAGACCAATAATGCCAAGTGAGCTTTTTTCCCCCCAGTTTTTTCTTTTCCTTTTGAGTACATGATGTAGAAATATTCATAAGGCAGGGCAGCATGGTCCTCTTGTGGCCCCATCCTTTGTAGCCTATATGTTTACAGTCTGGAAATGTCCATGGATGTACAGACAACTATCACTGCATTACTTTGATACTGAAGAAAACTTAAAATTGTGATGATTCTCAGGCAAGTTCTGGACTTATAATGAGCATATTTTTCTATGATTTTATAGATGTCTGTTTGCAATGGACATCAAAGACAATGGTATCCTTGTAAGATGTAATTCAAACTGAACCTAAAAAATAATTCACCATGTCTGTTCACATTTGACTGAGTTATGACTCCAAGGAGAATGATTTTTTAAGCAAACTGCGGCAATCTACAGCTGCAGCTGCAACTGCTGACTGTGTAGATAAACGGCCAAAACTTGCCATTGTTTTCAAGGCACCAGCACACACCTGTGCCTTTCAGCTCATATCTCTCCCTCTGTGCACCCACCTTCAACTTTCCCTCACAGGGGTGCCTTACATTTAGAAAACCTCTGGGTAACAATCATATTTGAATTTCAGTACATTTACGGATTAGATAATATTATACTGCTCTTCATCTTTGAGGGGTACTGTACTGCATATTTATGTGTGTCCCAGAGAAGAGTAGTCTCCAGCTTGGACTCTGTTGCTGTTTTTTTTTATGATTATTATTATCATCATTACTATTATTCATTAGTCATAATTAGCATTATTATTAGTCATATTATTTTCATAATTCATCATCATATTGGTCATATTTCTATACTATTATAGTTGTTACGGTTGCTTTTGCTGTGCATCTCTGTCTTTCTCTCTCTACCCGGAGACCACTTAGGTCAGGGTCCAGGGTCTCAAACTTTCTGCCTGTTTAAGGTATGTTTTTCCATGCCACTGCCGCCAGGTGCTTGCTCATGGTCAGCTGTTGGGTCTCTGTAAATAAGCCTGTAGTGCAGTGCGTAGACCTGGTCTATTCAGAAAGAGTTCTGAGAAAACTTCTGTTCGGATTTGGCACATTATAAATAAAAGTGAATATGGATGTATGTGCGTGCTTCATAAATTAACGTAATTACGTAGCAGGTTGAGATTAAAAATAAATATTATAGGAAATGTAAAAACTTATTTTAGGTCACATTACAGTGATGTCATAGTTTAGGTACTCATTATATCAGTATAATATGATTTATTAGATTTATTTATCTTATTTTTTAAAAATATTTCAGAGATTCCTCCATATACCATATCGTTTGAGAAGTGCTCTAAAGTATTCCATAAATTTCATGACCAGACTGTAAACAGGGGAGACTTAAATGAGTTGGGAACGCATTTGTAGATCACATCAATCAGTAAAATGAGGCCAGATCACCGGAGAGCAACTGTTGACTGATGGCAGTGTCACAGTTGAAATGTGTGTCAGAATAAACAGCCATCAGTCATTTGCAGGGTGAAGGAACTTGGAAAATCAGCCAGAAATGTTAAATGGTTTACGTAGGCGACAGCTGTCTCAGTGCGACCCGGCAACATGTTCAAATGTTAGTCTTGAAATTTGATGAAAATGTTCTGACATATGGCAGTTTCATTTTTGAAGCAGTTGAGGTGACTGTGATTGGTACAGTGTGCAGAGAGGTATATAAAGTATAAAAATGTGGACTCACCCGGGACAGGACAACCTCTAAGGTGATGTTCTGAGGAGGAGCGCTGGGTACTGCAGAGACAAACACAAAAACTGTGTAAATTTGTTATTCATGATATAAAACTGGATGCTCACAGACAACTTTGACTCAATATAAATGTTGAGACGTGTGCACTGTGCAAAGCAATCTGTGGTTGCCTCACTGACATGTTTTCTTTTGCTGTTAATTTTTAAAATAACTTTTTACAATTTGTCCAATGCTCTCAGGCTTCTCAAATCCTTTAGAGGAAACAATCTGTGAAGGTAAAACAGAGGCCAGACAGACGGCAATTTTCTTTTCCTTCCCTTGGCAAAGGGATGACCCGCCCTACTCTGCCTCTGATTGGCTAGTAGCTGTTAAGGCATAAGGAGTGAGAGTGGAAAGGTAGATTAGGGCATGTCATTCCATTGCAATGCTAGGAAAATAAATAGTGCAGTGATATAACTTATACATCACAAAAATGAAAGGAACACTTTGGGATTTACCCTAATCTACTGAATCACACACTTAAGATGAATATCAGTTGTTGAAAGGTGTATTTCTTTTTTTTTGGTGAAGCTAACACTTAAAATCGCCTAAAATCAGTTGGTTGTATTAATAGTTTTCTATAGTGCGAGTGTGTTTGCTGCATGCCGGGCTGATTCTGTTTGCTGTCACATCACTGCTGTCAATCAATCATCCTGATGACATCAGCACAGACAGGAAGGAGACGGAGCGACGATGTGACAGCATTCAGCCTCCGAGATCTGAGTGTGTCAGTATACAGCAAAGCAAGATTACCAGTGCATGCATGACAGGTGTCAACACACACACACACACACACACACACACACACACACACACACACACACACACTTCATCCCTCTGAACCATCAGGACATCAGACTGATTCAGAAATCAGTCCTGGTTTATTTTAATGATCTGACTTTAAATCACAAACAACGAGACTCTCAGTAAGCATCACAGCAGGAAATGATCTAAAACAGACAAACAAAAATAAATAGGAGGATGGAGAAAACAAACAAGATAAAGATAAAGAAGATGCTGAGGAAGGAGGGTAAAAGATGAAAGAGAAAAAATAAAGAAGAAAGCTGAGGAAAACATAATGAAGGAAAGAAAAACCATGAAGACAGAGCATACGACATAGAAAGTTAAAAACAGGAAGAAAATGAAGATTCTGAAAAGATTGAAAAGATTTACAGATAAGGACTGAGCAGAACATGATAGAGAAAAAGAAAAAACAAAAACGTGAAGATTTAAACAAAGAAAATGAAACAAGACAAAAGGAAGGCAAAGAAAGAAAACAAAGAAGACGGGGAGCTAAAATGTGAAAACATTCAACAAAAAGATGAAATATGAAAAATAAGAAAATGATGACAGCAAACATAGAGATGGAGTCAGTGAATAGCAGGAGGAAGAGGACGGGTGGGGCGATGATGAAGAGGCAGCAGAATCAGAGACCAAGTGTTCAAATTGAGAATCAAAGTGTTTTGGTTTGAATGAACTCTGCATCTGTCCGCGCAGACGCCTGATTAACTGTCAGCAGCTTATCTATTGATTCAGCTGCTCACTGTCTGAGTGTGTGTGTGTGTGTCAGTTTTATTGTGGATTCAATTAGCCCACAAGTCATTGTTATCATCGAGACGCAGCCGGAAGATTCACAATACAGCCACTCTGCATCTGTGTGTGTATGTGTGTGTGTGTGTGTGTTATTTCAGATCAGTTTTATTTATTTATGCTGTGATTGCAGCTGGACTGATGCCTCCATTCTCTCTCACTATAACACACCGAGCACCAGTCAGCAGCTCAAGTTCCATTCCGAGGAGATATTAAAGGGAAACTTTGCCAGCTTTGTATTATTACAATGTGGGTAGTATATGCAAATGACCAGGCGTTACCTTCCGTCCATGTTGCCTGCACACAGACCTCTCTCGATCCGACAATCCGTGGCGGCGGACAGACAAAAAAATGCAGAAGTGCAAACTGTAGTTCGAACAACTGCCCTAGAGCCACCGACAGTTGGATGGAGAGAGGCACAACGTGTCATCTGACGGATGTCTGCCGGCACTGTTTTCCATCATACACACACAGGGCTTCTAGATGCAAACGTGGAGAGATGGTGGAGTGATGGGAGGCTCCCACAGTTTCTTTTTATCTCATATATGCAGCTCTTGATCTGTTCATGTTGGATGGCTGTTTGTTACAAACTCTTGTTGTTCACATGTGGACCGGAGTAAACAGACGCCATGTTTCCCTCCAAACGACATGCAAATTATGACCGAATTTGCAGAAAATCGTCAAAAGAAAATGCAAATGAGTGCCGGCTCCCATCGACTGCTGAGTTCTTCCCACACATGACAATATTAAATACTGAGCTCTCAGTTTCTGGCTCTCTCTTTGTGTGTGTGTGTGTGTGTGTGTGTGTGTGTGTGTGTGTGTGTGTATGGACTCGATTAGTGTGTGAGGCTAAGAGGCTAAAATGAAGCAGCTCCTTCCTCATCCCCCTGCTTAATTAAAGACCCCCGAGTCCCCTAATGAAGCTCCTGACAGCAGGAGAGACAGTGTCTATGAGACTGTGTGTTAGGGGAGAAAGGGATGAAGTGTGTGTTCATTCAAACCAATGGCCGCTCGCACACACACAAATGGTGTCAGGTAATAGGAAACGCCTGGTCCAGCAGTTCTCTGGTCTCAGCTGAACGGCTGCAGAGCTTCAAACCTGGACCAGTTCAAACCAGTCACACACTCTCAGTGCACTTTAGTTTTCTGGACACTGTGTGCTTTGAAACATCAGCAGCCTGCTTATTTGTTTTGTTAGTCTTATTGATTTTTTTTACACCCTTAATTTAAGGAGTTTTAATGAAATGTCGTGTGGTCAATATTTGGGAAAATATGACGACCTGAACCTTGACAACATACAATAACTAAAGATGCTAATGCCACTTATCTCGGATTTTACTGCACTGGGAGAAAAGGCATTAATCGCGTATTGATCTCTTTGGCAGAACTTGGTTTGTGTAAACAAGGATTATATTCAGTAAGAATCTTCTCATTTTAATAAGCAAACACTTTCACTCCTCTTCTGATTGTCTTCAACGATTCAATATCACGTCTGGCTCTCTTTTCTCTTTAAAGGTCCGCAGATATGCTATCATTATCGCACTGTGATGTAATCTGGGCCATAGCGATGGGTGTTATTATGTGTAAGTTTCTATTTTCTTGGGGTTCAAAAGTGAAAAGTAGGCCGTAGCTCAGTATTTCATATCCTGTAGTGTAAATTATATAACGTGCTAAACCAAGTTGAGTCAGACACAGTTACTCATTTATAGGAAATGGTAGCACAGCCAGATCTGGTAAGAAAAGGCTCTGCTCTTTGATAGAGCTGTCAAAGAATCCGAGCAGCAATGAGAATCTGCTGAGGGAACTAAATCTCCCATAATACACCTTTTTCACAGTGTTACCAAAAAAAGAGCTCACCGTCTGATTGGGTGGTGACGCTGGCGGTCTCTAAGGCGGTGCCTGGTCCGTAGCGGTTGATGGCCAAAACTCGAACCGTGTAGTCTGTGAACTTGTTGAGTCCGTCCATCTTGTAGTTGAGTCCGTTCACCTCCACACTCTGAGCACAAACACAGAGGAGGCATTACACATCATTCCATCAATGTGTGTTATCACTCTGAGAAAACAGGGGGTTTCATTTGTGCTGAAAACTGCATTCCAAGGTTTATTAAACTCTGCATGAGGCCTGGTGTTCTGACAGGCAGTGGCGGTGCTGACCTGTTCCTTTCCGGACGGGCTCTCGGTCCACAGCAGTCTGTAGCCCAGGACGGGGCCGTTGGGTTGGCTGGGAGGCTCCCAACTCACCTGGACGGAGGTGGGTGACAGGGCTACGGCTTGGAGAGACTCCACCCTGCTGGGAACCTGGACTGTAGAAACACATAGAGACAACACACTGCTCACACATACTCACAGATACTGATGCTACTACTACAACTACTAAAGGCCAGTTTACACTCCATGATTTTAGCCCTGATTTTCCACTAAGAGGATAGCGTTGTGTGAAGTGTTCAACGATGTGACCCATAGGCTCAACAAGAGCTCGCAGATGCCTCACTGTCTAGAAAAATATCAAGCAGGCTAAATATCTGGTTGTGTCAAAGACGACTTGGGGAGCCATGCAATGAGATACAGCCAGTGAGAGCAGACACAGATAGCCTCTCTCTCCAGACAGGAAGCAGTGCAGCTACAACCGACAAAATGTAAAGTTTGTACAGAATACAGTTTATCTTTAAGGATTATATTGATGCCGAATTGACAAGAAGACAGACAAATATCAGCGTTTACCTCGGGTTTAAAGAGTTATGTAATTAACGGACATTTTAGGAATTGTTAAAATGTCATATTTCTTAAAGGGAGTTTGGTGCAGGGAGCTTTGAGTTGAATTCAGGCTGATCATTTGTATATTTTTCAATGTTTTGTTACTTATTTTATTAATGCTTTAATCAGTACTGATCAGTATAATTATCAGCTTATTTATTATTTATTGTTATTAAATACTCCTGATGAAACGTAGCTTGAAGACCAGACAGACTGGTTGTGAGAGATCTTGTAGTGTGTGACCCCCTGTTGCTGATCAGTCCTGTGAAAACCACAGCGCCTTTAAGACTCAAAGTGTAGTGTTATGTAGTGTGAATAGTACAGAGATCTGACCACTTTGAAAATCATGCAGTGTGACCAAGGCTTTAAAGTACTACTGCTGTTATCACAACTGCGACTAATACACCTTCTGCTCCTACATCTAGTGCCAGTACTGCAGTAACAGAGACTGGAGCAAAATTCTTATGTCTCCAGAAATTACTCAAGTTCTTACTGTCTGGATTATATAGAAATTAATTAACTTTTTTAGCTTTTGGTTTGGTTGATTCGGCCAAAAAACAATAGACGGTTGTTTTTTAGTATCCAAAAACACTGGATCCTACAAATATGAATAATTTTGTTTGGAGAACCACAGCAACAGAGGACATTATACAACAGTTATAACATTATAAAATCAGTGAAGTGCTCCTTTAAGAGTGCTCCATTATGAGTGTCGCTAGGTTAACCATTTTCTTCATGCCCGTTTATAGTGTGCATTTTAAATGTGCTCAGCCCTAAAAGTGTTTTGTTTGCACTGTTTAGTTTCTGATGGCTTAGGTAATGTGGTTTTGTAACAAGTTTTTTTTATCTAAACAACATTTTATATAACTATAAATTAAGAAAATATAAAGATATGCACGCAGTTCACAAAACAACAAACGCAGTTTCAACAGAGTATTGTTGTATATATACATATATACAGTATATGACCAAAATATTTATTTGTGTGTGTGTGTGTGTGTGTGTGTGTGTGTGTGTGTGTGTGTGTGTGTGTGTGTGTGTGTGTGTGTGTGTGTCTTACGGTCTGGTTTGGTGGTGATCCTCAGGGGGACGGAGCTCTCTCCGGGCCCCACGTCATTGTAAGCGATAACCCTGAAGCTGTAGCTTTCCTCTGGTTTCAGATTGGAGACAGTCAGCTCCAAAGACTCTGGCTCCGACACGTTCACTGACCGCTCCCTGACACAGCAAAACACAGTGTTACACAATATAGTAACATACGTACCAATGTACGTTTTTTCATTTTAATAATATTTTTATTATCGCAATATTTTTTTCCTGATAAATATTTTGTTAGAATTTATTTAATTGACATTATTTTCCTATTATTTAAACTATTATGAAAAACAGATGCAACTTGAGGTGATACTACTACACCACTGCATTTAAAAAAAGAAATAAAGCCAGTTTAATTTTGTAACAGTACAGATAATCAGAGCAGTAATCTGTGTAATACCACAGTGACTGCAGCTAATCCTCAGATTACAGCACCTCTGCAGCCTCAAATAATCGTCAAATCACTGAAGAGACATCTGCTGAGATTAACATGTTTCCACTACACCACCCAATACACACATTGGCCTACTCTGATGAGTTCACTGTACACAAAGCTGACAGTGAAAATACCCTTGGAATGATTTTAACACTAAATATTGGGGGCATTTTTTAAAAATCCTTTTGGAAACTTCATTTTAGTAGCATTTTGTTCCACTTTGATGAGAATTGATAAAACCATTGTCTGGGTTGAAGAATCTTTTCTCACATACTGCAGTTTGATTTTATCCAGTGAGAAGAAGCACAAAAGAACATCAAACGCTGTTCGGTTTCCAGATTGTAACTGATCCTTAATTTAGACAGACGGGAGGATGAAACTTTACAAATAATTCAAACTCAGTGTTGAATATTTCTGTTCCCACTAAATAAATTACTGCCGTGAGGGAGTGAAAGAGTGCAGTCTAAAATGAGCAACAAGCAACAATGACTTGAATCACAATCACTGCAAGTTTGTTTTCATTTTAAGGAGGTTTTAAAGAGTGTATCACACATATGTTCTTAAGGGACTGGTTCAACGTTTTGGAAGATATCCACTTGCCAAGATCAAAAACAATCTCTTGTACTTACATCCGCACTATATCATTTACTGCTAATACTGTTCATACTGTACATATCCTTAATAGATGTATATATCTTAGTCGTATTCACTCTGTTCATTCTGTTAATACTGTTCATACTGTACATATCCTGCTAGCATATTTACATATATATCTATAATGTTATTTTCATATTAGATTAGATTAGATTAAACTTTATTGTCATTATTATCCCTGTACATATGGACATTACTCTGCACTTTACTGCTTTTTGCACTTCTGGTTAGATGCTTAACTGCATTTCGTTGTCTTAGTACTTGTACTTTGTGCAATGACAATAAAGTTGAATCTAATCTACTCTAATCTAATCTACACGCAGAAATTTAAATGAGACATTTATAAGAACTGCTCTTTCTGTGATGAATGAATGACCAAAGTGTTGGAGAAACAAACTGAGCAACAAATCAATCAACATCATTAGCAGAAGCAACAGCAGCGGCAGCAGAAAGACATACAAAGGTTAAATAGAATACAAAAGGTGAGTGGAGATCTCAGGGTTTATGAATCCATATTTTCCTCTGAGCTGCTGAGTAAAGAGGCAGGGAGGCCGAGTTAACCAGTAGGGCTGTTTCTGCCACACAGTGTGAATTCTCTTTGCCCTTCAATGGCCATAGTCAGAGGTCATCCAGTGAGCTCAAAAACAAATTCTCATTCCCTCTGATCTCTTTGGTGATTCTTCTTACCTTGTTCAGTTACTACTACCTTTTCCCTCCTGGTTGTCAGTTCTCCTTGTCAACTGCAGTATCAAGTTCATTATCATTCATCAAGTGTGCCTTGACCAAAACTCTCAAGGGGGGAGAGAGAGAATTTGGAGATGTCCAAATTAATGATGTGATCCTCTCTTTCATTCCAAAACTTCACAACAAGCCGACTGGCTGTTGAAACAGGTGAAGTGCTTTGCGTTCTAAAACCAGCCTCTGGAGATAGACAAGTTAAAGTGGCACGCAAAGCCATCCGCCAGCATGACTCAAGCTGAGACAACTAGTTCACACCACTGCAACTTTTCCCTGCAAAGTTCTAAAAGGCTTTCGTCATGAATCTTTGGTTTGAACTGGGCTTAAAAGTAATGAAACACGCACAAAACAGTCAAGATTGAGGCCAATTTAAAGACTGTAAAGAGATTTTATTGTATATTTCTTTTTCACCGCAGGAGGGATTAACTTTGTCAACGTGAACAAAAAAAATGTTGATGACATGGCTTCGCCGATGATGATAAGTTACAGAGCATAATGTTACAGCCTTCAGGGAGCAGGTAAGCTAATGCTATGCTAGCAAACTAAACATGCTGTCAGTCAGTATATACAGTGAGGCTGACAGCTGGTCCAGTTTTGATCACGTAAATAGGTCTAAACTATTTCCTGTCGAAGGCTTTGGACACCTGTGCAGCACCTGTGCACTTGTGGACTGACAGCATCTAATTATAAGAACATGTGTTCTCATGTTACCGCTAACTGGGTCCAGAGTGCCAGTATCTGGTTTGGTTTTTGTGAACTTTATCAAAGAGTGCCGGCTGCTGTGTGATGTTGAAAATAAGGTCTGCCATTTTGTCATTGTGCATTGCCATGTGTGACGTCACTTGTTGTGATTGGCTAAACCTGTTTTATTTCAAAATAAAAAAACATCCAACTAATTTTAGATTGCAATAAACATTTTAGTTCATAAAAAACTGGCCTACAATCGGTACTAGGATGCAATATATTAGTACCCTAACATATTGTAAAAATACAAAGCATGACATGCTTAGCTAGAACATGTAGTGACTCTGCAAGCCTACAGTTGAAAACTCATCTTTTCATCTATCTAGCTCTTTCTGCCCTCCTTCTTTTTCCATTTTTCTCTCTTGATCTCTCTTCCTATTTCTCTATTTTATTGTCAATACATTCCCTGGAAGTCATTACAACTGACAAAAAATTCATCCTCACTCTCCCTTGCTGCTATCCCCCTTCCTTCTGTGATCTTTCATTGTTTTCCCTCTCAGTCACTCTCCCTCCATCCCTCCTCTCTCGTTTTCTGCAAGTTATTAGTGCTGAAAAAACCCATCTCTGTATTTTTCTCTAAGTCATTAGAACTGACAAAACCTCTGCCTCTGTTCCTTCTGTAAGTCATTAGGACTGACAGAATCTGTCTCTTGTATCGTTTCATGATGAAACTTCAGTGGCTCTTTTGTCCAGCATACCGTTCAGAGCCCTAAAGCACTGCAGGCCGGTTAGTCCCTAAGGTAACAAAGCTTAAAAGCCTGGATGTGAAAGCCTTCAGCTGGAGCCCCGACTGTCAGAGGTTACCATTTAACATCAGCGGGGGACTCGCCAATATGTCACCCAGAGTCTTTTCTAGTAAACGTTCATGGCTGCTGTGTGCAGCAGAGCTGTTATCAAAGGAAAGAAGTGTTGTCTTTGGCATATTGTTAGTATACAACTCTACATCTCAGCCCTTTGCCCCTTCCTACTGTAAGTCAACAATAACCCTAACCCTTCACAAAGCTTCAAGCCTACAACCTTTTCAGTCATGTCAGCGGTAAGGCTATATGGATGGCAATATCAGTCTGTCAGTTGGTTTGTCTGTTGGTCCACCATTTTGGTCCAGAATGAAATAAATAACTATTGGATGGATTGTCCTGAAACTGATCAGCTCCCTCTCCCAAAATCTTAATGATTTTGGTGATCGCCTGATTTTCCTATAGCTCTACCATCACTGGGTCAAAATTCCAGTTTGTCCAATAGTTTGGGTTATGGCCAAATGCCTGCAAAACTAATGAGATTCCCATCAGTCTCACCTGCACTCTGTGTTTACTGTTAATTAGCTAATGTTAGCAAGCAAAAACACTCACCTAAGATTCACAAAATAATCTTAATATCAAGAATGAACTCTCATGGTCAACAACCTACTACCAACTAGCTTGGAAAAATACATCAAATATGCAAAGCTGTGGAGCATGTATTTAAAAATAGTGATGTGATTATTAGTTCATGTTTTCATTTTTAGTGTCCATTTCACTGGCCTTTCTTCGGTTAAAGGTGTAATTAATCTGATATTCCACCTTCCAGGAAAATGGGAAATCTTAAATGGTGACCTCCAACTAGGGCTGGATATCAGTACCCAGCCAGTAACCAAAATAAGCCAGTACCAAGTAGTATCAAAACTATCAAACTACCAAAATCTATAAAAGAAAAATACTATTTGTTTTTTTTCACTGATCACCTCAAATATTCTTTGATGTAGTGTGCTGTTTGATTGGGCCACTAGTACTAGCTGCTAGTAGCTGCATACAGTCTGTGGTGGACAAGTTGAACGCAGTATATTTATTATTTGATACTCAAATAGTTCCAACATGTGCCTTTTGGTACTTTAAGAAGTCATCGTCAAGAGTTCATGTCACTTTAGAGGTCAACACCACAGACTGATGTAAAACTACAGCAGTTTGGATGAGGTTTTTAGGGGTACACTTCACAACAACATTCTTACCACATCTTATACACACCAATCAGCAATAACATTATGACCAACTGCATAATTTTGTGTAGGTCCCCTTTTTGCCACCAAAACAGCCCTGCCCCTTCAAGGTATGGACTCCAATAGACCTCTATGGTATCTGTCACCAACATATTAGCAGCAGATCCTTTAAGTCATGTAAGTTGTGAGGTGGGGCTTCCATAAATCGGACTTGTTTGTCCAGCACATCCCACAGATGCTCAATTGGATTGAGATCTGGGGAATTTGGAGGCCAAGTCAATACCTTGAACTAATTGTTGCATTCCATAAACCATTCCTAAACCATTTTTGCTTTGTGGCACGGAGCATTATCCTGCTGAAAGAGGCCACTACCATCAGGGAAAACTGTTTCCATGAAAGAGTGTACATGGTCTGCAACAATGCTTAGCTGGGTTTTATGTGTCATAGTAACATACACATGAATGGCAGGGCCCAGGCTTTCCCAGGCGAACATCACCCAAAGTATCACACTGCCTCCGCCAGCTTGCCTTCTTCCCATAGTGCATCCTGGTGCCATGTGTTCCCCAGGTAAGCGACACACAGGCACCCAGCCATTCACAAGATATAAGAGAAAAAGTGATTCATCAGACCAGGCCAACTTCTTCCGTTGCTCCGTGGTCCAGTTCTGATGCTCACATTCCCATTGTAGGTGCTTTCGGCAGTGGACAGGGGTTAGCATGGGCAAGTTGACTGGTCTGCAGCTACGCAGCCCCATACGCAACAAACTGTGATGCACTGTGTGTTCTGACACCTTTCTATCAGAACCAGCATTAACTTTTTCAACAGTTTGAGCTATAGTAGCTAGGGCCTTTGTTCCCCAAGTGCATCAATGCAACCTTGTCTGTTCCCCAGTTTTCCTTCCTTGGAGCGCTTTTGATAGGTACTGACCCCTGCAGACCGGGAACACCCCACAAGAGCTGCAGGTTTGGAGATGCTCTGACCCAGTCGTCTAACTATCACAGTGTGGCCCTTGTCAAAGTTGCTCAGATCCTCACGCTGCCCATTTTTCCTGCTTCTAACACATCAACTTTGAGGATAAAATGTTCACTTGGTGCCTAATATATCCCACCCATTGACAGGAGCCATGATAACTGGATAATCAGTGAATTCTTCACCTGTCAGTGCTCAGAATGTTATCGCTAATCGTTGTATGTTCCTTTACATGCATGGGCCAGTGTATTTAAAAGAGAAGAAAAAGACAAAGTGTTCATCTAACTCTCTGAAGTCAGCACTATGGTTTTTATAACCGTGGTCAACCTTTTTGGCTTTTTATCTACTGAAACATTGACAACAAAACCTCTCGTCACTGGCTGCACATATCTGCGGGCTGTGAGCAGTTTAACTAAAGAGTTGTTCGTTTTATTATTTTATTTGAATTATTTTGAAACCCTAAAAAGTAAAATACAGTAATTCACTAGAAAAAGGAAAAAATACAAACACCATCTGAACAAGAACCAATGCCTTACAGGACAGATTCCAAATTCATGTCTGACCAAACGAAGATGAAGGAAAAAAAAGTCCCATCTTACCTTTCGACTCCATCCTGGGAGTAATAAATGCCGTAGGTCTGCACAGCTCCTCCAGTCTCCTCCGGGGGACGCCAGCTGAGTCGGACAAATCGGCTGGACACTAGGACAGGGACCAGGTCGCGGGGGGCAGAGGGGAGGGCAACGCCTGGGCTGGGGGACACTGGTGGGGGATCAGAGGAGGAGGAGTAAGTCAAGGGGGTGCCAGAAGGAGCAGGAGGAGCAGGGGGAGGGCGAGTAGGAGGAGGAGGTGTGTGGGCGGGTCTATACGGAGTGGGCGTGGCCTCTGTTAACAGTTCATCCAGGGGAGAGGGAAGGAGGGAGGAAGGGAGGAGAAGCAGGCACGAGGACAGGGGGAAGTGCAGGAGGTGAGCAGAGGAGGCGGAGCAAAGGAAAAAAAAAAGGAGCCAATGATGAGATGAGCAGATAAGGAACGGAAAAGACGTGGAAGAGACAAGAAGGAAGAAAAGGAGGAAGAAGAGTGGTAAAGAAGATCACAGGCAAGAAGAAAAAGCAGCAGAGCATCTGAGGAGTTTAATTATAAACAGGAATCAGTAATCTGCTGCCTGCTCTCACATTACATCAAAACTCAATAATGTCATTTATTAATGACTAACAGCTCACACTTGTTGGATTCAGGCATTATAAAAAGATGGAATTCGAAACAAGGATTTTGTTCCTTTTAGAATTTGATCTACAGGGTTTTATAGACTCATATAACACTTGGTCGATTCTCCATCCTGAGGCAGAATGTGAGCTATTCCTGAATAAGTTATGAGACAAAAATGAGAACCACATGGGCTACAAATCCTGAATAGTTAAACTATATTAGCCAGCAGTCTGTATTTTCTTACGCCCACTTTGTGATTGGTTCTTAATATGCAAATTAGGTGGGCAGAGCTGGCTGATGTCATAAAAGTGTTGCAGGAATGAGTCCTAAAACACGGAAATGAGTTAGCATTTCATCCCCTACGGTTACTTCTGCTTGAAGTCAATGGTTTTTTTGAATGGGTTTCTGGTTAGCTGCCTAAAATAAGGTCTGTGCTTGTAAGAATTTAACGTTTTGTTCTATGACATGAAATATGTCAGCAAATACCCCAGCCATGAATTTTGAAGGTTTGTCTTAAAAAAAAACGATTGTTAACAAGTGGCTAAATGAGACTACAGAAGTTGTCACGATACTTACTATACTCTACTTAAGTCCGTCTTTACAGCACGTTGGACCTCAAAGTTGTGGTTTTTAATTACAAGTTGAAAGTTTAGTGGTGGTGACAGTGAAGTCGTGCAACTGTGGTGTAGTTTGTTTATAGCCCAATGTTAGCTTTTTTTATGTTTGCATTTGCACTTAGAAAATAATTTCATTTGTGAAGCTTATCTTGCTGAACAAAACCTTTAAGGACCATAAACCTTTGTTTGCCACAGAGCTTATTTTCTTCAATAATCCAAAAACCAATGGAAAAATCTCATTGTTTTTCTGATACAGGAACCAGGGCGATTCTGACTTCTGGTTTGAATTTCCCTCGGGATAAATAAAGTATCTATCTATCTATCTACCAACAAAAATAAATCATTCCTACAGTACTCTATTTGCACCTGCATTAACAAGTGTTGTTCCCAAACTGTAAGATAACCAGATCAACATGATGGAATCACGGGTACGTCTTTAAACCACAAATAATTTTTCATTGGTCTTGACCTAACATCATGTCCCCAAACAAAAATGTGTCACAGAACAGAAATGTTGTGTTGTGTTTTGATCAGGATACATTTTTTTTATGTACGTAAAACAGTGATGTAAAAAAATAGAAGAATGAAGATGAAACATCAACAAGATGAAAAACTACAATCTCTAATCTTGATGTGCTGCTTAATTACTATGCAAATCTGGTTCATGCTTGCTCAGGTTATTTAATTATTTTGTTGTTGATCACATTCAAAATTCAGGATAATGTGAAACTTGTTCTGAAAGATGTCAGTATTGATCTCTCCTTTATATTTCTTCAGCAAGAATATGAAAAAATTGTAATCCATATGATGAGCCAAAAGTAACCCCTAAACAAATCCTAAGCCTAGCCCTACCCTAAACTGATGAAAAACATGAACATTAATTTTACCAAACAAACCAAGTTATCAGCAACAAATAATAAATTTCAACTTTGAGAGCTTAGTTTATCTTCCAAAAAATATAATTCATTATGTTTAAATACTACAGAGACCTAAGAAAAAGAACAATGACAGTTCTCACTGGGATGACCATGGATGCTGACCGGTCAGTCTGGTCTGGCTAGGGGGTCCTCACATCCCCGAAAACATTGGAGCAAATTGCCAAGTAGATATTATTTTGATAAATTTCCCACATATTTGAAATGCCCACCAAAACTTGCAATAGAAAATTTGGTGACACATTGTGACAGCTGTGGGTTTGGTTCATATCCGCCATCACCACTGGTTAATAAGAAATGCTTGATGGGATCTTTATCTATACCTAATTTTAAACAAGTCAGCTCCCATAATGTCCTCGATGAGGTGCGCAGAGCAACAACACTTTCAGGTAGCAGCAATACTTGGCTAAATTAGGGTTTTTAATAGCGACACTCGGGCTGTGATTGATGAAATCAAGTCCACAAGAACACAAGTACAGACGAGTTCGCGGATTGGGAAAGGAGAGTGTGTATAATGTGTGTGATCAGCAGTGTTACAGTAGTTCTTGCTTTTAAGCCAATTATACAGCTGTAGAGAACAATCCCTAAGGCAGAAAGCAACAATAATCAATTGATCAATACAGGTACATGCCACAGCTGATGGGTTTTCTTACTCAGTGGTGTGTGTGTGTGTGTGTGTGGGAGTGGGTAGGTAATGGTAATTATGGGTTGATCTCATTTTTAAACAAAAAATACAACTGAAAACAAATCATCTTAAACCAAACTGACGTCCTCACAACTCCCCCTCTCCTCTACCTTTCTTTCTTCTCCTCTTCTTCATCATAAGCTGAGAGATATCCAATTTTATCCCCGGGGAGCAAAGGTTGTGACTCTCCACAGAGACTTTAAAGGCTTTTGTCTGTCTGTACATGTCAATAAAGCTCCACTAAACACACACACACACACACACACACACACACACACACACACACACACACACACACACACACACACACTTCACACTTGATGACACAATGATAGGATGAAAAGAAAATATAGAGAAGAGGAGAAAGAGGGGTAGATAAAGAAGAAAACAACAAAAGATGCAGGAGGAAAATAAATGATGCGGGGATGAAGGAAGAGAAAAAGGGATGAGGAAGAGAGAGAGGACATGGCGGAGGAAATAAGGAGTATGACACAGAGAAAGGAAAAGAAAACCGGAGATGTAGTAGTAAAAAGAAGAAACAGGAAGAGGGTGAGGGTAAGAGGAAAAAGAAAAGAAAAATTAGAGAAAGAGATGACAGAAGAATGAGACACAGATGGAAGAAAAAGACAAATGAGAGGAGGAGGAGCTAGGGAGAAAGAAAAGAAAGTTGAGTAGATGGAAGTAGAAAGACAAGAATGAGGAAGATGATATGGTGGGTTACAGCAGAGGGAGAAAAGGAGGAGAAAAGAAGAGTGGATGGAAACAAAGGAGTGTTAACACACCTCCTCTCATCTCTATGAGATGAGATTTCAGGGTGTGAAGGGCGGATTCGTTTCTGCTCGGTGACCCGGCCGAAAAGCCGAGCCGGCACTGAGCAGTAAAGCGTCAGTCTCTGCCGCAAATGGACGGGTAGGGTAAATAATAGAGTCAGACACCACAGAAGAAGAGCTGGAAAACAATCTGAATAAGTGCTGAAAATTACACTGCAGTCTGCCCTACGACAGATGATACCTGCGCGCACACACACAAACACAGCCTCCATGTTTTTTCCATTGCTCCATTTTCTACAAGCTGCTCTGCATTTATATTGTTTCTGCTGCCTGGATGATCTTTAGGGGAGTTTGGTTTCAGCTCAAAGCAAAGAAATGTGATTTTTGTGTGTGTGTTTAAAAAAACAACTATGCACTGGAGAATTGTAACTTATACCTAAATGGACAAAACAGGGTATACTACATTTCTACTGACGTTCAAAATATGTACACAGCAACAGAGGCCTTAGATATGGCCCCCAAAACAAGTAGCTTTATGCACTTTAACATGAATTGCAATTAAAAAGGTACCTAAACCTGGTCTGCCACCTGAAATACATTAAACCCTGTCTTATATGTAAGACAATAAAATCAGTTTATACCACAATTACTCACATAACTCAATCCCTCCAGGATGTTTTTGGGGACTGTTGCGACCTAAAATGCCTGATGTCATGGCAACTTTTCTTAAACATTATGATATTTTAGAATTTTTTTAAACTAAGGTAAATTATCCTTTATTAATCCCTGTAGGGAAATTCATCTGTATGCATCTGACCCATCCTAAGCACTAGGAGCAGTGGGCAGCCACCGTGTGGCGCCAGGGGCCCACCTCCAGATCTGAAAAGGCTCATTTAATGGTAGACTTTCTAAAATGTTCTAAAATTGTGTTTGCATGTTGCGATATTTGCATGCATTTTTTTCCTTCAATGAGATGGCAAAAATAGTTTCAATTTGTTTAATTCTTTAAAAATCGAAGGCAACTTGTTCCAGTGAGCCTATAATCACTGCTAATCTGGGGAATGATATGATTGGTGAAATCCGTGGAAAACCTGTGGTGATTGGACAAAAGTGCAATGTTGCACATAACTCACAAAGATTGGTTTAATAAAGGGTTAAATGTTGCGATTGCAACACCACAACTTCTTGAATGGATTGAAACGTGGCATTACTTTTTCAAACTTTAAAGTGTATTTTATATAATATAACATTAAAACAGCAAAGTATTGTGTTTCAGTCGGTTCAAACTAAGTCAAATGTAGCTTGTGGTTCTCAAACTGTGGGGAGCCTCGACATAAATAAAGATGGACGACATGACAGCTCTCCAAAAATTACATCATAAAAAAACTTGATCTCCCTCTGGTGGCTGACTGCAGTACAGGTCATAAAGCCCTCTGTCTCCATGTTAGCAGATGGGACAAACTAAAAATAATTACAAGTCAAATACATTTTTCCCAAAGATGGTTTCTGTCATTTTAGGTAGTTATATCACGCTGATGTTTGTTAA